CGTTGCCACCGGACCGTCGGTTTGAGAGCAAAGGTGCCCGGCTTCTCGGGCGTCCAGGACGGGGACTGCGAGGGAGGCCCAGTCCGTGACTCCCGTGGGCTGCGCGTCTCACCGTCTGGCTCCGGCTTCTCTGCAGGCCTGTCCATCTTCATCCGGGAGGTCAGGGCCGGCCCCGCAGCCTTGGGTCAGACCTGGGTGTGACCCTCAGAGGGAGAGGCCTCCGGGGGCAGCACCAACCGGTCTGCTCCCCGATTCCCGCAGGAACCGCGGGGGGCTCCCAGGAACCAGGACCTCGGGCCCAGCAGTCCCTGCGGCCACAGGCACGAGAGGAGGAAGGCCGCCCGGGGGCCCAGGCGGAGTTTGGCACAGGAATGAGGCACTTGTGTTTGGTGCTTTGGTGGGAGCTGCACGGGGCCCACCGCCGGAGCCGCTGGCTGGTTCCTGGAGCAGAGAACGGGCCCCAGGCGGAGCCTGTGGGGCTGGGCTCAGAGGAAGGAGGCGGGGACATCACTGGGACGGCACCTGCAGGGCCACCAGCTTCTCCTGAACCGAGACCACGTGCAGATCGGGCGATGGGCCCGGCACCGCCACAGCCGTGGCACATGCCCGAGGGGGGAGGGGGCCCCAAACATCCATGAGAGAGATCCTCGCCGCCCCTCCAGGAGCCGCAGACGTGGACGAGGGACGGGACGGGAGCTTCCAGAGCTCAGCACGTCCCCCCTCTAGAACCTCCCGCCCCAGGAAGGACGACACCTGTCCTGGTGCCCCGGGCACAGCGGGTACAGCGGGCACGGCAGGGACGCACCCGCAGCAGGCTACACGGAAACGGCATTTCACCTCCGTCTCCGCCTCGTGCTCCTTCAGACCCGATGTGACGAGGCGGGTGGGGCTCTGGGCCACGGAGGTGCCCTTGTCCTCAGAGCCCACCACGCATCGCGCCCTGGGTTCCCCAAGGGCCCATCTGCACGACCTCGTCACAGGTGTGTACCTGCTGAGGCAGAGGCCCCGGGCGTCGGGGGCACAGGAGCCCTCGGCCACACTGGGGGACACTCTGGCGACCCCTCAGGCCACGGCGGAACGGGCAGGTGGCCCCTCCCACAGACCCTGCACGTCCCGGGTGCGGAGCTGGGTGGTGCCCTGGTGCCCAATTCTGCCCAGAAGGCCCGGCTGTGGACGCGTGGACATGTCTGTCTCGGGAAGGGGCTGGGACAGAGCTGGGTCTCGGGAAGCCGGAGGAGCCAGGTGTCGGGGTCACTCCAGGGGCACAGCAGGGGCCCAGCCGGTGGCCCGGCCGTGAGGGGCTCAGATCTTCCTCGGGGAGCCGATCATGACCTTGGACACGAAGTTGACGATGGCGCTGGCGGGCTGCTCGGGGTCGTGCTCCGCAAACAGGTGGCACACGTTGTCCGTGGCGCTGCCCTGCTTCCGGGCCACAAACCCAAAGACTCTACGGAGAGAGGCGGGGTCAGGCGTCCATCTCCTGTCCGGCCAGGGCCACGGTGAGCGGGCAGAGACCTGCCAGGGCCGC